TAAGCGGTGTTCTTCTTGGGATGACGCACCACCTGCCTCTTCACTGACATCATCATCATCTACCATCTCGTCGGTAGTCGCATCAGGATCCCTTATCACCTCCAGGATGTCGTCGTTGGTGGTCTCGGAGAAGCCTGCAGCTGTAACACTGCGCAGCTTCTCTGGCAAGGTCTACTGCTACTGCAACAGTCTGAACCTCACCAGTCACAGATTGACTCTGCATAACGCCCGGAATGCCTTGCAACACATGTCTCCATGCGTGACGAACAGTTGCTACAGACAGCTGATCCCATGCCTCCACCAAGAAGTCCACAGCTTTCTTGATGTTGAATATTCTCCAGAATTGTTTGAAAAGTATTTTTTGCTCTGCCAACTGTTGATCCTCGTCTTCTTCGCTCTTGCTATCGGTGGTGGTGTCACTCAGGTTACACAACTCTTCCCTGGTGTTGGTGTAGTCGTTCAGTAGCTTGAATTTTTTTGTTGAGAATGCAGCTTTTACATTACAGATTAACTCTTGGTCCATGGGCTGTAATATAGACGTAGTGTTGGGAGGAGGGAAGACCACTTTTACGTTGGGGTGACGATCTAACAGTAGGGGCGAGTGTCCTGGTGCGTTGTCCAACAGCAACAAAAACTTGAATGGCACATTCTGTTGCTCACAGAATTTCTTCACATCGGGAACGAAACAGTCATCAAACCAGGAGAGGGACAGTGTAGAGAACATCCACGCCTTACGTGCGGTCAGCCAGTGGACATTTAGCTTGGTCATGTCCATGCTCTTGTAGGCGTGCGGCTTGCGGGCTGTGTGGATCACCGATAACTTGAGCTTACAGGTACCGGAGGCATTGGTGGTAAACAGGACGGTGATGAGCTCCTTCTGCAACTTCCAGCCCCGAATCTTGCTGGCATTCTTCACAACGAAGGTCTTGGAAGGTAGCTTTTTCCAAAAAAGACCAGATTCGTCCATGTTAAACACCTGGTCGTCGGTGTACTGTCCTTCCTCCATAATCTCACGTAAAAACAGAGGAAATTCCCTAGCCGCAGCACGGTCAGCACTAGCTTCTTCACCACCAATGTTTATATTGGTGATCTTGTTCCGCATCTTAAACCTCTGTAACCACCCAGAGGAAGCATTAAAGGGTTTGGGCTCTGTAATTCCCATCTTTCGTGACACTGCAGCATACAGTTCACATGCGTACTCCTTAACAGAGCGCGTGTCGACCGCTACGTTCCGTCGCGCCTGACGCACCAAGTAGCTCACAAGTAATTTTTCCGTCTTGAGAAGCACCTGGTTGTGGAAATACTTGATCATAGAAGCACCTGTAGACTTTGTGATCTTCATGTGCTCCTTTATCTTGGCTGCATCCTTCTTTATCGTCCGGATCGTAGATTCGTTCACACCATGCTGGCGCGCCAAATCAACCTGTCTTGTTCCTTTCTCCAACTCTTGGATGATCTTGTACTTCACCTCGTAGCTTAAGGAACGTCGTGTCTCCTTGGGCTTAGGGCGGCTGGGTCCAGGCAAGGAAAGGTTTCTCTCTGGGGGCGGTGGTCTGGCGAAGCCATTTTACAGAACAATGGATGCACGACTACACGGTGTGGCCTGGAGGGATGAAACTGCCGCGGCTAGGTCAAGTGTCGTCTTTCCTCCCTCCCCCGGGTGGACACGTCATATTACTTTAAACCAATTACAGCTAGCAGCGGAGGGAGGTAGGGATGCATGGCCAATCACAGTCCGATACGTCATATGACGTCACTGATAACGCAACAGAGACATGCACTGCGCAACCTTACCGCGCGGCTTGCCCAGGCGGAGGCGGAGGAGGCGGGAGCAAGCGGGTGGGGCGAATCTAAAAATAGCGTCGAGCCGGACACTCTCCGCGTAAAGGGGTACACGCACCGCGGAATGTGAGCATCCTGGGTTTCGGCAGGGTAACGTGGAAACGCGGAATGTGGGACCGTGTAAAGTGAGGGTTGACTGTATTACAAAATTCATTATTTTATTTGCTGTGGCTGTTCATCTCAATGCTTTAACTAGTTAATGTGTTAAATGTGTGCTTGACCGTTAAGATTGGCAGTGATGATTTACTGCCAATAGTAATACTATTAACATAATGGGAAGAAGCATATAACTTAACATTTATCTATTCATATTTGTGCTTTCAATAAAAATATTTTACACTTCGATATATTGCTGAATATTTGAGGGGAATAATGTTAAAAAATTCTGCATATCTTTTATTTCAGTATGAAAACCCTCTATATTGTATAAACTTACTGTAATTATATATTACATGACATTAAAAAAAAATTATTTTGAGTAACATAATAAATTAGAAAATGCCCAAGGAAGCACACCTTTCTTGTGACTCACACTGTCTAACCCTAATGTAAAGGCACAGGGTCTACAATTGGATTCCTATAGGCATTTTCAAGAATTTGATCTTTTATTATACCATGTGCAGTGCATATGACAAATAAAAGAATGGGAATAGTTCAGCATGCATAGTGTGTCATATACAAATATTGGCTGTGGAGGGAATATCAGCCACCCTGGGAAACAAAAATTCCAACTACTGGACCGCTATTTTATTTAAACATTCTCGTATAATATACAAGCAGGCAATCATTTATAACAGGCAATGTATGTGGATTAAAAAATGTACATAGTATCAGTCTGGCATTCGGCTCAAGAGAGGTGGAGGGCAGCTGTCCATACATTATTAGGGGAACTGATAATTCTCATTGGGCAGATCATTACACCTATTTCTGTGTTTATCACCATTTTTCTTTATAATCTGGAGAAAAGAACAAACTACATTCTACAAACTCAACATCAATTTCTTCATTGTCCGTAGTTAAGCAGTATTTCTGCTTACCTGCCCAACAGTAATTATCTGGCCTACTGTTCACTTGCTGCACTGAGGACAAAAGTTTGAGTCTTAATCACCCATCTCTTTTCGTATGCAAATCATAGCCATCACAAATTAATAAAATTTCACTGACATTTCTGTGCTTCTTTCTAGTTTTTCAAAACTCAACATTTACTTGCAATGAATGAAAGATTATTTTAGGATAAACTATGTTAGTAAATGATTCAAGATTTAATATTTCCACTTTCTGAAGTCAGCAAACTATTAGAATTATGAGTGCAAAAAATGCTTCTGGTGATTTTATGGTTAAAGAAAAATATTACACGAGGGTAATAAAGTCCACATAGCCCCTCTGAACAATCAACATTTACATAGTATTCTGACAGAAAATGATGAAATCAAAAAATCAATTTACTTCCTTTTTTATTTATAATACTTTCATACATTTTCATAATAATAAAACACACTAGATTACTCACTGCACCTCCACCTCGAAGTAGAAACCTCTTTCTGCTTTGGTGGACAGTTCACAATATAAAGAGAAATATCACTGTATTGGAGTTATAACAAGGAGTGGTGGACTTCTCACAAGAGGTAACCCCAACCCAAGGATGGCAAGTTATCCCTTGCTGGCCACACTTGTTGTGTGGGAGTGGAGAATGTTGGCACCAAGACCTCTCGTACAAAACAATTTTGTAGAATGATTAAAGATTACGAGCCTCCAAGCTATCCATCGAAGTAAACCTGAGAAGTCCATCAGACAACTGTTCTGAAATTTACAGCAATCTTTAACTGCCCAAGTTAAAATCTGCACCATGATACTAGATTATATTTTCCTTGTCTGTTTCAAAATCTAGCAGTACATATGACAAAGATGAATACAGCCACTCCTCGACTTACGACGGGGTTAGGGACCAAATCCGGGTCGTAAGTCGAAAATGCGAAGATAATACATAGAAAATCTAAAATGGGTGTCTCTTTTTCTTCTCAGCACCACAAAACTCTCACTTTTAAGCATGCCAGCCATTTTAAAGGGAATTACAAACAAAAATTTTGTCAGTACACAGCGCAATCACTAACGTCGGGGCTCGAAAATACTGTACGCAATTTGAAAAAAAATTGGTACGACTGGGGCGGTCGTATGTCCGGGTAGTCGTAAGTCGAGGAGTGGCTGTAAATCTATTATGTAGGATAAGCCAATTAAAAATAATGGCTTATTAGTAAGACTTTAGACTTCATACCTATTGTATGTAGTAAATTAAAAGTAAATTTTTCCTACCACATCTTTCCTTATATTGCAAAAAGACCAAACTCTACAGTGTACCATTGCTTGTAATCTTACACCATGCAACAATTGTTTTAACCATATGTAGCTGTCAGTATGAAATATAATCAACTGCAACCATCTTGCAAGATTTCACTAGGGTAATTTCCCTGTTTACAAGACATGCAGAAAATGCGACTAACAGAAAATGACAGATCTTAATCTTTGAATACACATCACTTGTAGAAGCATCCTCACGCTAGGTCCCTTCCTGGATTTTTTTTGTTTTTGTTTTTTACATTGTAAAAAAAAAAAAAAAAAATACTGTGTATATATATATATATATATATATATATATATATATATATATATATATATATATATATATATATATATATATATATATATATATATATATATATATATATATATATATATATATATATATATCAGCTCATTTAATTACCACTTGCCGGAATGTCCATTATAATGACACACCAACGTATAATTGATAATAACTGTGGTGAAAACAGCAATAATGGACCTTCTGTATTATGTTAGAATGGCTTAATTCCCTCAGGGAACATTAAACACTTGTAGACAATCACATCAAGGCTTGGGATTTCTCATTACATCCAAAAATGTGGATCTTGCTAGATGCTCAAGTAGCAGATTAGTTCTTTCACTGTACAAATACTGTCAACTTGTCAACAGTTTCCAGAAGGCCTACAGTTACTAGCCAGGCATTTCTTGAGTGACAGCACCACCACATGACTGTTTCCTCTGACATTAAACACAAAAGTTGTCTAAGTATTTACATGCAAGACTTGGGATCACTCAGACATTGTCTATCAAAAAATAGCTTAAAATGTCTTAATTAGGAATCATTTTTATTGTTATTATGACCTAACACTTATCCATACTGAATAATAAAAAAAAAAATATCCCACTTCCAATAAAAACATGTGGGCTACAACATCCTAATCTTGAGATACCAGTGTGAGGAATCTTTAAACAGTTCTTGAAGCTGTGTATCTTGAAGAATAGGGCAAATTTCACAATCCTCAGACAACTTTAGGCTCTCTTCAACAAGAAAAAGACTTCAGCCCAAAAGATATTGCACCAACAACATATTTTGACAACTTCTCTTGGCAGAACAAATCAATTCATCTCTTGTGCAAGTGTGACTTCACCATTCAAACACAGGCTGATCTTAACTTTAAAATCTTCTAAGTAACACAATGTTTCTTATGTGGGCTGTTTATGTTTTTCTTTTATCCCCATTATATACTGATCTCTGGTTTCTGTAGTTGGGAAAGGAAGGAACAACAAATAACCTGAAAAATTTTGCAGTCATCAATAGAAACTTGGTGAGAACTAGCCAAGATACTTATAATGTTCGAGCAGATGGACGATAATTTCAGGCTGTGTACATTCAGACTTGCAGAGCCAGTTTATTTTTTTTCCCCACCACACTTTTGTTAATGTCAGAATCAAGAATCATAAAACTAACAAAGACTTTTTTAATGCTCAAAAAATCTTCAACCCGAAAATATATCCTTGATTTCAAGTTATTGCATCATCCAGAAACTGATTTTGTTAGCATACTATTTTCCTAACCACTTTTCATCACACAATTTGAAATAAAAGATCATTGAACAGGTGTCCAACTTGCTTATTTTACCGAGGAAGAAACACAATTAGTCCACCGAAACTATAAAATGATGTTGGTTCTCCTTACCAATTGCAATTCAACCTCATTTATTATACTTCTTGAAATTAAGAAAATTCATAGTGTAAATGGCAACTACAGTACTTAAGCAGCTTAAAAAAAAAAAATCATTGACAATCTCATTTCTTCCTAATAAATTACTCAATAAAAAGTCAGTTCAAGCAAGTTATTATTATATTTATTAAGAGTCATTGGCTTGATAATTTCACTTCTTCCTAATAAATTACTCGTCAATAAAAAGTCAATTCAAGCAAGTTCATTATTTTGATTACACAGCCAACCTGAGATGATTTAATTTCATGCACTGCAAAATTACTACTAATGAACATCGGAAGAGGATGATGATGATGAACCGGCTCGCCTTTATATAAAAGACTGGCGTATATAATATACTTTCATAACCATCTCTTGATTGTAATTTTTCTACAAATGTGCCTTTCCAACTTGTACCATTTGCTCCTTATCCTCCAAAGACTTCCTCACGTACACATACCTAACACTGATGCCCTCTTGACCAATGCCAATAGCTCTTTTGTGAATAATTTTTTAATGATGCCACACAAATTTAAGAACTTAACTGAATAAAACCTGATAATATGATAGAAGGAAAAGTTAAAGATGATATAACTCTCTTTGCCAAGTGAGAGAAATTACTTATGACAAAGCAGTTGTGATGATTTAATGACTATTTCGAAGATATTCATGAATGATAAATGAAAGAAAATAAGAAAATATTAAAATTGCATAAGAAATGTAAAACACACTTGCATTTCGCACCTAACAGTAGTACTAGCAGCAAACTCATAAAAAATACAATAAACATTCAAGCTTGCTCTAGTTTTCACAACTTGAAACACAAACCCATCTTGCAATAGTCAGTTTTCACAAATTATTCATGAAATATATTTTTTAGTATTAAAGGTATGATGTACCATTTAACAAATTAAGCAGAAAAAAAAAAGCCATCCTTTATTTATCACAGACCAACCACAAATTTTCCCCATAAAAAGTAAGTGTGACATTGCTAGCTTCCTTTGACCTACAGATAACTAGCAAATACCAGTCCACAGATGGTACCATGCTTTATAAATGTCATAATATGTTAAGTATAAACCACTCAAAATGCAGGGGTGAGATGAATGGCTTACTGCAAACCCTGCTTGCCTCTACATGGCTCAGTTTTTTGACCAAACAAAGGGGGATTACTCAGAGATCTCAAAGGCCAAACTTACCTTAGGAAAACAAAGCTAAGTTTGTGGACCTAGAAAAGAAAGCAGTGACCCGAGAAAATTTCTGAAAGCCCCTTCACACAAATAAGTCTTACATTGGAGCCCACACACAATCCAAAGCAAGCAGACCTTGCATCCACTAATCTTGTCGCATTGCGTGTTGAGAAAACAGGACCTCAGCTTCCAGGTGTTGATGCGAAGACGAGTTACCATGAGGAAGTGGAGATGAAGTCAAAAAGAGGTGGAGGTGGTGGAAGAGGCTGCTAAACAGCCAGAGTGGGATGAGGGGATGGGTTAGGGTAGGGGTGGACAGGATGGGGAACAAGGGTAAAGGGACACCAACTATTCTTCCATCTCACTTACCCATCCTCTTTTGGTGGTGTGAACCATCCTGTCAAGAATATGGATATTAATTTAATCTCATACACACATACCATACTATTGTATGATTACAGAATCTGAAACACCATATGTAAATACAAAAATTTGAAACACCATTTGTAAATACAAAAATCTGAAATTTATATATCATGTCTTCTTTATCTATCTCTAAATCAAACTCAAGGTGACTGCAGTTGCAATTTAATCATTACCAATGGTCCCTCTACTTTTTTACATCACACAGCATAATGACTTTCATAATGTGTACCCATATCATAGCAATGTGTGGATGTGTGCCACTAGTAAAATAAAAAAGCTATACTGTACTGTATATATATTTGTTTTCAAGTTGTTACCATACATGTGCAAGTAGCAGAGAGAATATAAAAATAAAGGGTAATTGAAGAGTTGATATGTATACTTAATAATGACAGATATTGCCTGGTGATAGGTTGCAGCTGGAAAAATTAAGTGCACCACATTTATTGGACTGTTGCACTCCACACAGGTGCACAGCCTAGAGGGAAGGCTGATAATTTTTATAAACAATTCAGGCCAACACAAATAGAATATTAGACTCCTCCTTATCTTTTGTATACTGTACTCTAGGTCCAAGTAGATAACAGCATAGCTCACTTATTCTTGCCCTTGTCAGAGGGTTTGGAACAATCAATCATTTGCATTTAACTATTACAATGAGTGACTGTCTGCTGTCCAGTCCCCCAAAAACCTACAGCTAGATTTTCTGTCGCTACAACTTGAAAAGCTAGACAAAATGCTCTGATATGATCCCCAGTATATCATCATAAGTTGGTATGTCTGCTGGCTATATTAGCAACAATTACAGATGGGGGAGGAATGGGGGAGAGTCGTTTCTTGTATGGCATACTAGATACTTCAATATAACATGAAATCCATTAAGCTATATGCTGGGTAGAAGCAACGCATATGTGAACAAGCCCCTGACTGATGATTACAATAAAACTGAAATACTGTATACATTAAATTGAAGTGTTTCGGATCATAACTGCGACAGACCACAAAACAGACATTCCACCATTATCTTGTTCACAATATGCCTGATTTATGAAATGACTAAGCAAATATTACTTGATATTAGTCAACAGCTACAACAAAATACAATATATCAGTCTACATGGGATCTACCATGTTCCTCATATGTGAATTGCATTAGTTTAAAACCCAAAGTAAGACATTTGTGGTTGTAAGTTTCAGTATGTCACCAGTCGATTCATGGCATCTAACCCGTTGTGGTACTGTGGGTTGGCTCACCACAGGTCACCGTGCTATCTCAGCGTTACGTATAGTCTTGTTGTGAAGGGCATTGACAGCATCTCTTACATCTCGCTATGTCTTCCCGGTAATTCATCGTTCCATTCAATGTACAAGCCCGTTGACGACTGGTATGGCGTTGGTATCCATTTACGACATCCACTCCACGTCATGTAATATATGATCTGAACCCTCGGAGGATTTATATCATTCAAAGACGTATATACCCATTCATGCTCAAAGGTCTCAGATGTAGAGCTACCAACCGTTCATAGACAAGATGAGGAACATTGCTCAGGAAGCCTCGAATTACATTGACCCCATGGCTAACAATACTTTTTGAGGGGACTGCACATCCATTAGCAATCAATAAGTTAGTTACACCATCATGTACAATGAAAGACAAAAGTCGTGTCGTGAAATTTGGTACGAACATATGCCGAAGAGCTAAACTTTTGGTGCGCTCTGCCTTGTGGTAGGAGGATCTCATAATGTTTCACGAGTTATATTTAATCTTCAGACAAAACCGCAACACGACCGTTGTCTTTGACTGTACGTTAGGAATCAAAATAACACATGCAAAAGATAAAAGTTGCCCTTCAATATTATATTAAACTATACTGTACTGGGAATTATTCAAATAAAGAGTGATAGTCACTGTGGTGGATAGATACAGTAAATGGTCCCTTGTAATACATACTCCACTGAAACATTAGCAGTAAATTGCTCAATCTATCTCTCTTCTTTACCTCTTCTGTCATAAAGTGCATTACCCACCCACCCATACACACATGCACTCGCTCAATCACACCCAAACATCTCACCCACCCACACACACATGCACTCACTCACACCAAACTTCCTACCCCCCCCCTCCCCCACACATGCACTCACCCTCACCAAACTTCCTACCCACCCACCCACACATCCACTCACTCACAACATCCCACCCACTCACAATGTCCCACCCATCCACTCACTCACAGCTTCCCACCCACCCACACACCCACTCACACATGCACTCACTCAAAGCGCCCCACACATCCACTTACTCACAGCGTCCCACACACCCACTCACACATGCACTCACCCACAGCGTCCCTCCCACCCACCCACACATCCACTCAGTCACTCAGCGTCCCACCCACCCACAAACACACATTACTCACCATTTTTTTCATGAATCTGTACAAGTGACTTGAATGACTGCTGTGCCCGGGCCAAACTGTACTGACCCTGTTAAAGAACGACAAGAAAATTGCACTAAAGTTTAAACATTCATACTTAACAGAATAATCTGCAAACAGCATTTATGTGACATAAATAATTTCAAAACACTTTATAAACATTGCAGACCTAGGAACAAAGTTTCTGTTCTAAGGTGTTGAAACTCTTTTAAGATTCGTTAAAAATATAAATGTATATAGTAACATAGTTATACCCTCAACTTACACTAACTTTGCCTGCTTTATTTGCCCCAAACTGGATTCTTGCTTTACCCTTAACCAGTGTTGCCGCAATCTGCATGATCACAGCCTCAATGGTATACGCTGAGCTCCAGCCCTAAGGGAAAAAACAAATTACTGCTCAATGATGTGCAAACCTTTTCACCAATATGCAACACAAAACAAAACAAAAAATAAAATAGATATATTCTACATGAAATAATATTATAATGCAATGACATCAAATTTCTACCTGTTTTGTGAGAAGTTCCATACAGATGGCACCACCAACCAGCACGTATCCCCCACTGATGACTGGGTGGACAACACGTACAAATGGTGGCTCAAAAGGATACATCTCCTGAAACATGACATATTTACTACCCTACTGTTTCATGTGTAAATTACACCCACTTAAACCCATTAAAAATATCAATGACTGATCCTGGAAATCTTAATTTATAGCCGATTTAAGATAAGAAATATTCTAGTGTTGTTCCCATCAGTACATAGGTTCCAACCACATCTTACAGCATTTGGTAGTGACAGTTGGCACTAATTAACAATCAATACAATCTCCAGCTACAACAATCACCTTTACAAAAGGAGATTAGAAATGAAAGATACCCTAAAGGACTGATTGTCAATTCAGTCTTGGGACATAAACTCACTGGCGGTGATTTGAGGGCCACTGACACTGGTAGACATCTGTTAATATTTGTCTAGTCATAAACATCACGAGTACTTTTCACCGGCACTTAGGGGTCGCTGACACGGTATATGTAAACACCGCGGTGATCCTTGTCACAATCACTTTGAAGGTGACCGACAAAGTGCCCAAAGTCTGGTGTTACACTGCTGTGTTTTTCCTTGGAATATACTATCGGATCACTGTTTTGGAACCAATCATGCTACGACACCACGTATTGAATGAGTTGCTACAGCATCATGTGAGGTTCCTCAGAACACCATCTGTGAGGAAATTACAACACCACATCAAGCCCCTCATAACACCATCTGTGAGGGAATTACTACACCACATGATGCCGCTCATAACACCATCTGTGAGGAAGTTACTACACCACGTCAGGCCTCTCATAACACCATCTGTGAGGGAGTTACTACACCATGTCAGGCCCCTCATAAAAACATCTGTGTGGGAATTACTACACCACATCAGGCCCCTCATGACACCATCTGTGAGGGAATTACTACACCACATGATGCCGCTCATAACACCATCTGTGAGGAAGTTACTACACCACGTCAGGCCTCTCATAACACCATCTGTGTGGGAATTACTACACCACATCAGGCCCCTCATGACACCATCTGTGAGTGAATTACTACACCACGTGATGGCCCTCATAACACCATCTGTGAGGGAATTACTACACCACACGATGCCCCTCATAACACCATCTGTGAGGGAATTACTACACCATGGCAGGTCCCTCATAACACCATCTGTGAGGGAATTACTACACCATGTGATGCCCCTCATAACACCATCTGTGAGGGAATTACTGCACCACGTTAGGCCCCTCATAACACCATCTGTGAGGGAATTACTACACCACATCAGGCCCCTCATAACACCATCTGTGAGGGAATTACTGCACCATGTCAGGCCTCCCATAACACCATCTGTGGGGCAATTACTACACCACATCAGGTCCCTCATAACACCATCTTTGAGGGAATTACTACACCACATCAGGTCCCTCATAACACCATCCTTGAGGGAATTACTACACCACATCAGGCCCCTCATAACACCATCTGTGAGAGAATTACTACACCACGTCAGGCCACTCATAACACCATCTTTGAGGGAATTACTACACCACATCAGGCCCCTCATAACACCATCTGTGAGGGAGTTACTACACCACGTCAGGCCCCTCATAACACCATCTGTGAGGGAGTTACTACACCACGTGGCTGCTGTTCAACACCTCAGCACACAAGATCTACGTGACCTCCACTGTAAATATTAATCTGTATGTTCCTTTACCTTTCTCTAATGAAGGCTTTTGTTAAACCACCAATGTATATAATAAGACATTTATGTCCAATGTATATTTTCAGCCTTTGGGTTGCAGAACTTTTTCAATAAACCGTTAATTATTACCTCCCACCCATGCCAGCTTGCCTCCCTCATTGTTTGTGTGGCTTATCATCCCCCACGCCCCTACCGCCAATGTACTGGTTACTAATATAATAGACACTGCTGACTCCCTGAGATCCAGATTTCCATGTGCTAAGCTAGTGATATGCGGTGACTTTAATGAGTTAGACATCAGCAACATCACCAAACACCTCCACCTTTTGCCCAGATAGTTGATTTTCCTACACATGGGAATGCCACTCTAGACCTCATCATGACTGATCTCGGCAACCACTACCTTCCCTCCCAGCCGCTGCCTCCCATGGGGCGCAACACCCACCTGACGCTGCTGTGATCACCTACACCTACCATCTCACGACCGCCAGTTGTCACCAGGACTTACCGACCTACCCCTGACTCTGCCATGCGGCGTTTCGGACAATGGGTGCCCCGGTATCCCTGGACTGAAGTGATCATGGTAGAAGATGTGCAGAACAAGTGGATAATTACCTGGACGCTATCACCAAAGCCTACAACCACTTCTTTCCAGCCAAGACATTGAGGATCCACCCCGCTGATGTCCCATGGATTACACCCCCTATCAAAAGACTAACTGAGCAGCGCAACAGGGCATACTACACTAACAACCGCCTGTACAAAAGTCTACGTAACCAAGTCATCAGGGAAATCAAGTCAGCCAAGAAGTCTTATTATCCCAGGAAAGTGCACAGCCTCAAGGAGGTCAACATGGTCAGTGGTACTCTAAGGTAAAAGATCTCTGTGGTCTTTACCGTCAGTCTTCCACATTTCCTTTTCTCTCTCATTTACATAGTGAGGAGGCAGCCGAGACAATTAATAACCACTTTGCTACCATATGTCATACCCTACCCAGTCTTGACCAACTTACCTTCCCCCTCCCAATGTTCAACCATTTGAATTGCCAACAAACTCCTGAAATTTAAATCCGAATGCTCTACAGCCCCAATTTACCTCCCAATAAAGTTTACAAGGAGTTTGCAGTCGACCTTGCCACCCCCCTCTGTTCCATTATTAATGCATCCCTCAGACAAAGCAAATGCCCTTATGAATGGAAAACCGTATTTGTCACCCCTAACTCCAAGGTCCCCACCCCACAGTTCCCTGGTGACCTCAGGCCAGTTGCCATTACCCCCACACCCAGTCTACTCTGTGAAGACTTTGTTTTTGAGTGGGCATTTGACCTTGTTGATCACTGCACTGTTATAAACAAGGCCATTGCACTAGGGCTGCTCACCAACCTGGTCTCATGGCTCACTGATTTCCTGAGTGAATGTTGTCAGGCAGTGAGGTACCAGGGCTCTGTCTCCACATTCAAACACCTCACCTGCGGTGTTCCCCAGGGGACCGAGTTAGGACCACTGTGCTTCCTAATCCTGATCAACAACGCTCTATCAGACACTCCTCACAGGTGGAAGTACGTGGATGACTGCACTGTGTGGGTTACCAGTAGACAACACCGCACCAGACTACTCATCGCTATAAGCACCCTGGACAGGATACAGGCATGGACTACAGAGAACAAGGTCACGATCAATCACACCAAAACCGTAGTCATGCACATCAATACCGCCACCATTCCAGTGCAAGCTCTAGCAGTTAAAGTGGGTGCCCATCCTCTCCAGTTAGTGCAGTCTGCCAAACTCCTGGGTGTAACTATAGACCACAAACTGGACTTCAGGCTAAAGGCACAGGGGTTTTATTGTTTTGCTTATAAAATATCACTGACTTGACTTAGGAGAATATAACTTGCATTAATGAAATTCTTGTAAGATAGCGATTAATTTGAGACAATTTTAGTAATTAACTTATTACGATTGAGTACAGGTTGTGATAATTTCTGGGTTGCAGTTTCAAAGCTTTGTGAGATCACTAATGTATACGGAGTCTCCATATGCCATGTCGAGCTATCATGTATCAATTAATTTTAAAATAAAAATCTAATGTAAAATGTTATTCTAATGTAAAATGTTATAAGACAATGGTTTAGTAGTGCTGTTAATGTGTGCTGTGTAAGTGTCTTGGCATGTCACCTCACCACCTGACTCCTGAACAAACTTTTCAACAACTTCAAATCCTACATTGGCAAACTAAACACACACACATGGGAATTAAGACAATAAGCATCCAGTGAGGGTCTTGTTGTGTTACTGCACGGAGGCGAATTAAAAGATCAGCTGTTGAGGAGCTTATTGCTTGGCAACACTGGTGCATGTTACACTCCTTTCCACTGCATCTCACTAATTACCCACAGCTTTCTGCTTTCTCACTCCATATTTTAAAATGTTATGTAATGTAATGTTGAAGGGATGCAACTTTGCTCATTTATACTTATATTTATCACAATCTCTCTAAAAAATACTTTAGGTTTTGTGTTCAATCAAGACATCTTCAGGTCATGAGACCCACTAATCCCCCACCCAAGAAAGGATGACATGACATTCCATTAGAATGTCAGTAATCCTCCACCTAACATTGAGTCAAGTCAAGTCAAGTCAGGTCCCCCTGCCCCCCCAAAAAAAAAATTAACTTTCATCTTTATTCAAGACTTTTTTACAATTATCTTGATTTTCAACCTCGGAAAATTTGTTCCTAAACCCGTAAATTTTTTTAAAATTCCGGCTTTGGGAATGATTTTCCGGTCAAATTTCAATTCCGGCTATCAGAGATTTCCGGGTTTATGGGATTCCGGCTAACGGAGATATTACTGTATGTTAGAAGTACAGCTATTTGGTGACCGGTGAAAGTACAGTTTTTGAGAGTCTAAGCCAAAGATGGAATGGAGCTAGCTGAAGAGGAAGAGTTTTTGAATCACCGATCTAATGTCAGAGTATTCGTTGCATGGAAGAACGAGGGTGTTGTCTTTTTTTTTTTTTTGTAAGGTTAAGGTGGGGAAAGGATGGAAGGTATGCTGGGGCTCAAGGCACAGCCAGACATGAGGGATACAGAAGTCACAACATATAGTTGTAGGAGAAAAGGTTGGTAAAGAAGTTTAATGAGTTAAACAGAGGGGGACGACACCCCTTATTTTACATATTACAGAGTTTGTTGGCTAACTAAGCTAACCTAGCATTTAGGATGAGGTTGCACAATGGTTACTTTGGTTCTGTTAATGGATCCACTTCAGAAAATATGTTCATTGATTGCTCCATATAATATCCACAGACCTCTCACCTTTTTCATATCGTTTTAACACATCTACTTTCTCGGCTAAGCTTATACACTTTCTATTAGCTTTTGAACCAACACTACCATAACCAACACTACCATAACCAACACTACCATCACCTACTCTCTTGCTCATGTTGAATAGGGATGCAAAAATGCTTTAAGAAACCTGAGAAAGTTTTTCTACTTTTCCTGTTCCAGATGCGTGAAAACAAAAGGCCCACCAAGCTCCAACTGTTGTTTACCACTCATTAGCCAGGCAGCTTCTTTGCGCAAGGCGTTCTTAATTTTTTTTTTCAGTAATTATTTTTTATAATACATATTGGGATTTAGTTATTATTTATATGAAACTGTAATTTTATTTGATTTTTATTATATTTTGGTCGTAAATACGAATGAAATAAGGACGTAAATTGAAATGGGTCCTAAATTAACTGGGGTTTTAAATATGAAAAGTTGTTGGCCGAACCATTCTTATCGGAGGCTTTACTGTATCAACTAATTTTCATTTAATTATAGCAATAAAAAAAAAGGTTATCCATATTCCATAAAAAAGTCACAGTTTACGACTTAACTGGACAATTATCTCTATGTGACAGCTACATCGAGGGCACATCAGTGATATTTCCACACCAGTCCTTGATGCCTGTACCGTCTCTGACTTACCTTGAAATGGAAGTTGAAGAGAATGTGATCTGTCCCTTCTTTCTCCTTGAGCAGCACCATGTCATTGTGGAGTGGTGAATCTGAGTCCACTATCAGAAGCTTCACATTCCATTCATAAAGACTGTCGTTTACTAATTCCACGCTGTACACTCCTGCAACAGTTTCCATGAATTACTATTATAAAAGTAACAACAAACAGTGTTCTCTCAATTTTTTATTGTTGTTGAACTAGTGTATTCTTGCTACACACAACAACACAATATTTTGTACAGTAGTCCCTCACCAACCGCTGGGGTTAGGATCCTTAAAACTCCAGTGGTTAGCAAATCTGAGGCTGGCAACACTAAAGGCTTATGGGAAATGGGGTTAAGTTCCATGGCCATGGATAACACCTGTCAAAGCCCAAGTTGCCTGCTACTTCACTAAACAATACCTGTACAGTTGACCCTTGCCAAGATGCTTCTATGCCAGACTTGCGGAGGTGCTATCCGAACAGAAGCAGCAGCCCAGAAGTTATGTTACAACCTGTTTGAGAGGTCGATTGTCCTTCTCTCTCCTTAGGTCTGCTTTGCTCTGCCTCAGGGGAACAAGAGCATCGGCCCCAAAGTCGACAACAGTTGCAAATATTGACTACGAGGCAACAGTCACTGAATGCCGCATAGATCTGCAGCTCAACTAACTCAACACAGCTAGGATAGCTACTTATGTATAAGCATAGTTAATTTTAAGGTAATAAAATGGTGGCGAAGGTGTGGCTATCGGAGGAGGCTGGAGGCCATAAAAAAAAATTTAGTAAAAGTAGTAGTAGTAGTTCTGTTGGTGTGGGTGTGTGTGTTTGTATTTACTGGGATGGACAAGTTTGCTACTGATGTGTGATTCTGGGCTGTATGAAGCAGAGCAACATAGAAATCTTAAGGACGTCTTGTGGAAGGGAATCATCATAACAGAACACATCTGTTACAACAGTTAAGAGGATGTGCCAAAATAGGAAGAAAAGATTTATATTATTGATTCCAACCATCTTATACCATTACAAGATAAAATTTGCTGGAGTAAATTATATATATACAACAACATTCCTTATTCACCTTTCTTGAAGCTATCTGAGCGGTAAATGTCCCTGAGCTCCTTCATGAGGCGGTCAGTAGCCTGCACACTACCAGATATAGACCCCCGGAGATAATCTTGCCGCTGGTTTGCCTTCAACCGGTCCAGAGTGGCTAGGTTGCCTGGGTCAATGCCTTCATCTTTCTGAGCAGCATGTGATGAAGAATTGTCCTCCATTTCTAAATGGATATCTTCTTCCATGTCTTCTTCCTCTTCTTCCATCTCTGAGTCTTCATATTCTTCATGCTGCTTGTAAAAACAAATGTATTAGTACACAGGTGTCCCTCGATATATGAATGGGTTAGGTTAAAAAGAACAAATGTATCTCAAATAGCTAAAAGAACAAATAGGAAAATAAGGTTTGGTTTCCCAATGACAAAAATACCCCAACATAATTCCCAAAAACACTAAATTGGTTCCACAAACAAGAAAAACAACATAACTAATGAGAAATACTGTAGTACTGTAAACATTAATTCAAGCAAATACATATGCAGTAATAAACAATAATGAATCTTTTGTACATATTCTTAAGATAAATGACCGTTTCCTTGAGTGCGCACGTATACATTGGCGTTCCACTATCAGTCTTACTTTTCCCTTAATATCAGTGGTTACTTCTACTGTACGTTAAACAACATTAATTAAAACATATATAGTGTTTTACATTAATTTTACTACAACAACAACCAGGGTCTTATTTCTTCAGTTTCAGGTGGATAACTGACATTATGGGTGTAAACACTGACAACAATGCTGTCTCTTATCCTCTTGAGTGTTTTAATATTCTACGTATTATTAATGAATTGCATTGTTCATTTCACATACAGTATATAAACATTAATTCAATCAAATACATATTCAGTAATAAACAATAATGATTCTTTTGTACATATTCTTAAAAAAATAAATGACGCAGTTTCCTTAAATGCGCACGTATATGTTGGCGTTCCCAATCCATCTCTTTTTTTCTTTGCCATTAGTGGTTAGCTACTTCTATTGCTAACAAACCGGTGACACGCCGTGAGATTACCTAATATCTCACCCAGCTTCATCAAAGGTACCAGCCACTACCCTACACTCATTCAGGCAAGTGTGTTAACAAGTGAGATAGTTCGATATCATAACACAGCTAAAACAAGTGATGAAAACTTTAATTTCCACTGTCAAAGGTTCTCAGATTTCTATGCTTCTTTTCGGTACCCAGCAATCAAATACATATGACATCAGATAAATAATTTAATTATACTTACAATAAAGATATGACAGCATATATTAACTTGATATGCACATTAAATTCATCTTCACAACAGTAGAAGCAGTGCTCTGATATGGGAAACATATCTTCATTTCCCTCGGTACTGTGACAAATATTTTTCCTGGTGTGGCTCTGTCTGTACTTTTACACATTGGAAAGAAGCACCAACGATGTCCTTTTCTTTGAACAATATTTTTGGTCAAAGGTGGCTGTCAAAGCTTGCAAATCAACTAGCTGACTCCAGTCCTCAGTTTCACTACAAGCTAGTGACATCACAGCCAATTATTGGACATTTTGCTGTCACGTGACTGTTGAGCAAATTGAACCCTTATTTTTTATACTTTCTAGCATATTTTATTATAAATTATGCTTACCACAGTGAAATTTAGCATGATTATTACTTGTTGAAGTGTCATTATAAAAAATGGTGACCGTCAACTCATCCATTCCCAACCAAGGACAGATGTGGGAAGGTAGTCAAAGTGAGCCTATTAATCATGGCAGGGTTTTTACGCATACTCCAGTTTCCTCCTGTACTAACATTGGATAATAAAGGTCGTAAAGTCAAAATTAGCAGACCAACAACTCGAATAGCTATTGATAAGTGTTAAAATTAATATTAATGTTTTCTTAATAAAAAAAAGAATAGGGGGTAGCTGACCACAGTATAGTACTCACATGGTCAATAACGTCACTGCCGTTGATGACCTGCGGAACTGAAACTAAATCCAGTCTCTCTTCCAGGTCGGGTGGTTCCTCCATTCCATATGCTGCACATAACTCCCGCAGAAGCAGCTTCACCTGCTGTAACACCTGTAATAGGTAAGGCAAGTAAGTTTCCAAAACAATTGATAATATACCAGGGTTCACACAAGACAGGTTTTCAAGATTTCCAAAGCCAAATCTTTCATTTTACAGGAAGTTATGTTATTGTTCATCTTGTAATTTTGAGTAGATACAGTACATATAAATAATTTTTACTGTGAAATGATTGCCAAATGGCAATGCAATATATTTTTATTTTTAATTATATTAATTATTAATATTTAATCCTCATATTTACTAGTACAGTATACACACAACAGTTCATCCAGGCAGTCACCAAGCTGACTCAAGACACGTGCGTAGCTGCTGCCTGTATGCTGTGACATCACATAGGGGAGTGCTGCTGGCCACAGTTACAGCTCACCACCTCAATAAATATGTTTACTTCTCACACATATCTACTCTTCATTTTTCTTATTTTATAGTTTTATGGTTACCTTCCATTTACCTGTCATAATCACTGATGACGATTCTGTATTAAAGGTACATTAGAAGTAACATAAATAAATGTTTATGGGTTAAGTTTTCAAACCCTAATGATCTTTTCTCCATTTATTAAGAAAATAAACTATTGCAAAATAATTAGGATATCACCTTAATTAATGCTATGAGCTGCGAGCATTAATATAGATGAAGCGTATGTGTAATACGCTTCATGAACACACGTTTGAAGTGGGTGAGAGACAGGTACAGACTGGCTTGAAGCCGGGTACTTAATCGCTGACCCCCACATTCAGGGTGCGTAAGGGGTCATTGGAAAAACACTCACATGTACAATTATGATTCACAGCTTTATTTCTAAGCTCTGTGTTTAGGCATGATTGCATAACACACTAAGTCGGAAATAAAAAAAAACAGCCAGAGACACATACAAAGTGTAAACAAGCGCAAAGATGACGGGAATGAGCCAGAGGCAGTGTGCAGAGCCCTCTGGTTGTAGCCTCAAGTTTACAAAAGGATTGGAAGAACCTGATGATGGGATATAAGGAGGAGTATACTGAAAAAATGCGCCGTCAACGACAGACCACACTGGAAAAGTTCTTTCTCACAAGACCACAGCCGATGATGATGATGATCCACAGGGAGAGTGACCCACTGTCTCCCTCCCAGTAACTCCAATTGCACCACCTCACCTAACTCAATACTCAACATCGTTTCTAGTACGACTGATCGTGGCACAGTCTTGTCGCATCTTACGTCGGAGTTACGTTCTGAAGAGGGTATATAAAACCAAAAATGCATCGTTAAAATTACTCTTGAAAATCCATTAAATCACCCATAATGTACATGGTTATACAGTATATACCTGTCAATAGCACATCTGGCGACTTGACTGGTTAGGCCTATTTCAGATTTAAATGTGCACCACACACAGTATGTGCCAAAAACAATTATTAAAAAATTATCATAAGATCAAGACCATAAAGGGATTAATCATTATGTGTACAGAAGCAAACACTGAGGGAGGGAGGGAAAAAGCAACAGGTAGCATTTTCTCACTCACTGCTCCGCTGTCTCACCATCTGCTGAGAAATGGCAATGCAGTATTTTTTCTTTTTATTTCTCACATTTACTGGTACAGTATATATTATTTTATGTACAAAGAATAAGTTCGTCCACACACTTACCTCTCAAATATCCAGCACACGACACAGTTCAGGCAATCCTTCAGCTCAGCCGACTCACAGATGTGTGGCAGCGACCGTGGTGGGGTGTGTATTCCGTGATACATTTAAAACCCAGTAACCCACTGCCTCATAATACAGTGGTCCCTCGGTTAACGAACGGTTCGGTTAAGGAATTACCTTCCATAAGAATCTTCAATTCGGTTAACAAACAAAAATTCAATTAACGAAATCCTTACGAACAACACATTTTGTTGTGAGCATCAGCTGCTCAGCTGATGGGCTAGTCTGCCAATTGAGTAATCTGTTCTGTTTACATTCATTTCCAGTGGAAAAAAATCAAGAAAGTTGTGCTCTTTAATATTTTTTTTTATTTTTTATATTAAAATTATTAGTAATTTTAACATTTATTTAACATATTGATAATATATGCAGTACAGGGAACTAGTTTTTTGTGCACCCATCAGATGCGTGAGTCAGCCACAAGGCGTCAGTTGAGCTTTGAAAACAGTGGAGAGAGCATCTATTTTGTTGGTGTCTTGATTATTTTTGCATTTTTCATTGAAATTATTGGTCATTCTGAACTTTAGTTAACATATTGATAATATATAGCACAGTGCAGTGTTGATTTTAAAGAAAATATTCTTGAATTACACCTAGTGAACTTAAAATTTTATTGGTGAAATAACTGTATCAAGCATTGGTCCCCTGAAAGGTGATTTCTCCTCCATCCCCACTTCCTTCTCTTCTCCCTTCTCCTCCTCCACCCCCCCACTTCTAATTCCCATCATCATCATCAACCAGGAACCTTCTACATACACACCTCAAAGTAAGTGTACTTTACTGCATTTTCTTTTTACTTTGTATGTACTTTTCTGTGAGTTGGAACCAATTACCCAATATCCCATTGAAACAATGGATTCGGTTAAAGAACGACCTTCTGGAACGAATTGTGTTCGTTAACCGAGGGACCACTGTACATTTACTTCCCACCTGTGTTCTTTATTTTACTTATTTTAAGGTTTTATATTATATTTTCTTTATTTCTAAGCCACATTAGAATATTGTAATGCCTTTTTCACAACTTTTACAGTTTCATTACAAGCAACAATATACGAGGAGGCTGGGCCGGGGAGTCGACCATATACAGTACTTTATAGCCAAGGCCTTGGCGAGAACCGTCTCCATACACGCTCACCGTTTTTCTTATTTTATAGATTTATATTATACTTTCTTTATTTCTAAGCCATATCGTTTATAGGGTAGAATAACTGATAAGTAGTCCGTTTTCTGAGACGTGCGCCAAGAGTCAGCTGTGGCCTAGAGAGATGGTAATGCATGTTGCCATTCTTACATATAATGAAACTATGAAGGTGGAAAAATCATTTCAATACTCTAATGTGACTTGGAAATAAAGAAAATATAATATAAAACTGTAAAATAAGAAAGGTTCAGATTAAGAGCATAGGTGTGCATTCTGTGTGGGAGGCCTATTTCAGTTTAAATGTGCACCACACAACTACCTCTGTTGTAAGTTTATTTTGTCCTCTTTGCCACTGATTGTCAAGATGATTTCAGCAGAGAATATTTAGGAAAAATAATGAAAGCATAAAAAAGCTAAAATTATACAAGGTATTGCACACACGTCTTTATGCATTTTCACCATAATTCTCTAATCAATTAGGATCATTTGGTGCCAGGTTGATAAAATATTATCCTAAAAAAATCAACTTTCCTGAAAAAAAATAGATTCCCACACTGAACACCATGAGTCATTTGTTTACAAAAGAGCAAACAGCTGATAGCTCCTTCACCACTCATGCTTACCCCAATGTCTGTCTTCATCACTTAATAAATACTATTGTAGTAAATTTACCTTCATTTAATAAATTCTATGGCATAGTTTATATCATCCCTTAAGTTATATTGTATGTACAGTATTATACATTTGCATATACCCTGGTTTATTCATTAATCAGTTGTCTAAGTGTACAAGTAGCCAAATTGAGCCATCATGTACCACTCAAAGTTAATAAATAATGTTGTTAGGAATGAATATGCATATCAAATACTATACAGTGTGTTATAGTGACCACTGTTGTAAACTGGTCTTCTACTAAAGCTCACAGAAACACATCTGAGTAAATAACCTTCTGATACAGCTTATCCTTTTATTTTCAAGTAATATTATAAATTACATACAGTATTGTATTTTTTCTCTGTTACTGAAGACGTTATATTAATCATGATGAACCATAAACCATAAGAGGCCAATCGTATGAAAATATAATACTGAATCAATCAATAAATAAATAAAAACTAAACCCAACGATTGCGGCAACACCCGATCAGCTCCCCCCCCCCCCACCCAGCCTCCTTACATACTCATTGTCTTAGTTTTGGGCAGGCTTAGGGCAAATCTGATTAGACCACTGTACAGTATTCAGTTAGCAAGTGTTGTTCTTTTCATAAGATTTTTTTTTAACCTTTATTAGTATTTCTGGTGACCTCAGTCCGAAAAAAGCAAATTCCGATAATTATTGAAGGCCAATTTATCAATATTTTACTGAAATTAAAAAAAATAGTTATTCTAAATATAAAAGCTGGATCTATAACTACTGTACTGATGATAGCCTCGAGACAATTACCATCCATACAGTAGGCACCCAACTCTTCAGAACTAAGCAGTAACCATTTCTGAACTCTTAAAAGCACTACTGTACTATCAATGTTATACCTGCAACATTTATTTTTTATATCTACAAATAGGTACCTGATATGAATAAAGTTTTACAGATACAGTAACTTTCTTTTCACATTTGTCTGTTAACATTGCTGGCACCATTGTAGCCAGCATTGCTATGGTGAAACGGAGTGTATGCGATTGACGACTGTGTTAAATTTTCATTTGGCTTTTATTTACTGGTTTGGAAATACAGTCAGTCCTCGACTTACGACGGGGTTAGGGACCGACGACCAGGTCGTAAGTCGAAAATGCGAAAAAAATATATAGAAAATCTAAAATGGGTGTCTGTTTTTCTTCTCAGCACCACGAGAACTCTCATTTTTACGTTGCCAGCCATTTTAAAGGGAACTACAAATGAAAATTTTGTCAGTACACAGTGCGATCACTAACGTCGGAACTCGAAAATACGTAATTCAAAAAATATTTTATACGACTGCGGCGGTCGTATGTCCAGGGTGAAGGTAGTTTTAGGCTTAAAGTTTTTATCTTATAAAATGTTACAGACTAAACTTAGCAGCATATAACTTGCATTGCTGGAACCTTGTAAGATAGCGAATAATTTGAGTATAAACATCATAGTTTGCACAAGAGACGAAATTTGTAGTCCGTTAGTGTAGTACATTTGAGCACAAAGTGAGTAGTGCAGTAATATGTTGTTCAAAATTATGGCTTTTTCACAGGAAAAGTCTTTAGTATAACCAACCCCGGTGGTCACTGTACTCGCTTCTCGTATCATCGAACAATATCGCTCATATAGCGAATATAAGGTGCAAATTCCTTAACCTCGTATCAACAAATTCTCGTATAAAGAATACTCGTGTAACGAGCTCCCCTTATATAGTATTTCTGGTTGCCCCTGATTTTCAACTCTCAAACCTGGAAAAAACTCTATCCCCAGAATTTTCCGGGCATCAGGAAAATTTTCTCGGAATTTTCTGAAAAATGTGCCCCTTGGAAAATCGATCAGAAACCCGGAATTTTCCGGAAAATCCCTGCTTTGGTTACTATAATCTGAGAAAATTTCAATTCCGGCAATCGGAGAGTTTTGGGTTTGAGGGATTCTGGTTAATGGAGATATTACTTGTATATATTATTTTAAGAAAACTATAGCTATGGGAGGAAAACACACACTAAAGTTTTTTCTTGAATAGTCCCTGCTGAAACAGGGGTGCATCTTATTGCCATTATCTCCCCCAGCCATATGCTCAACACTCACTGTCATTTTTCCCCCGTAAGCCAAGCACGTAAAGTTGAATGTGCGTAAGATGCGACACGACTAACTACATTCCTGGTGATATGTTGCTTAATTAAAATAAAAGCTTAAAAGACTGAAATAAAATAATACAAGTTAAAAAAAATATAAGTGATTAAATAACAGAACATTGGTTATATAAAAAAAATAGTGGTCCCTCGGTTAACGAACGGTTCGGTTAACGAATTACCTTCCATTAGAATCTTTAATTCGGTTAACGACCAAAAATTTGATTAACGACATCCTTACAAATATCACGTTTTGTTGTAAGCATCAACTCATGGGCTAGTCTGCCAATTCAGTAATCTGTTCTATGTTTACATTCGTTTCCAGTGGAGTAAATATCAATAAAGTTGTGCTCGTTAATATTTTTGCATTTTTTATATTAAAATTATTAGTAATTTTAACATTTATTTAACATATTGATAATATATGCAGTACAGGGAACTAGTTTTTGTGCAACCATCAGCAGCTTGACTCAGTCACAAGGCATCAGTTGGGCTTTGAAAACAGTGGAGTGAACATCTATTTTGTTGGTATCTTGAATATTTTTTGCATTTTTCATTGAAATTATTGGTCATTCTAAAACTTAGTTAACATATTGATAATGTACAGCTCCTCCCCGACTTACGACCGGGTTGGGGACCCAAATCCAGGTCGTAAGTCGAAAATGCTTAAATAATACATAGAAAATAAAAAATTAGTCTCTCTTTTTCTCCTCAGCACCACAAAACTCTCACTTTTAAGCTTGCCAGTCATTTTAAAGTGAATTACAAAAAATTTTTTTGTCAGTACACAGTGCAATCACTGACATTGGGACTCAAAAATACGTAATTTGAAGAAAAAATTGTACGACTGTGGCGGTCGTATGTCCAGGTGGTCGTAAGTCGAGGAGTACCTGTATTTGGGAAAAATGGGGATGCCTGTATTGAAGTCTGTTTTATCTGGGTTTTACTAGTACTAATCTCAAAATTCAAGTAGCTACAGTATGTATGAACTGTGAAAGGCAGTTAAACAGTTACCAAATACTGTAGTGGTATTATACTTGTACTCACGTGATTATCTCTACCGCTGGTGTTACTGAGTCGCTCAATAGCATTGGTAACATTTGTGTCTTCAGTCTCTGCAAACCAGACTGGAGGGGAGTGTGGGTAAGTTTCCTGAAAATGTAAACATACATTAGATGTGAGATAAGAAGATGAGATGAATGCCCTTGCCACTTTTTAGCCTGTACTGTACAGTATTTGAGTCCTACATATAGAAGTATGGCAGTCAAGCAATATTTTTACAGCAAAACAATTGTGATGGAATGTTACAGTAATCACAAACATGTACCTTTCTACAAGGTTTTATGACATCGGTCATGTTGGAAAGTCAATAAGGATCATAAAATTTTTAACAAAAGTTGTCCAAAGAAAACAATATTTGCCTGCACAGTTGTGAATTTCTTCAATATGAATTCTTTCAGAAGGAAGACCAAGTGACCTACCTAAAGAAAAGTGTCAAAATGTTTAATTTCTGCCATTTAATAATTACCATTATGAATAAAAACATAATATAGCCTGTACAGATAATTTTCTTTATGGTATTCCTTGAAAACTCTATTTAAGCAAGCTTACTCCAAAGAAAAATGAGCAACTTGCAAATCAAAATTTTCTTTGACCAGTATTTGCTCATATTGTAAAGCTGTCCATTAACTTCTGTCTTTTCACTTTTGAGTGTATGTCTAGAAGTTGACATAAGTGCACTTGGTCACAGATGAGGAGCAGCTGCTAAGCCTAAGATTACTTGCATCACGAGGGCACCTACTGTCACAAAAGATTTGGCAGATTCAAGGAAATACAATCCATGCTTGTTCCTGCAGTAGGTACTTCACTTCCTAGTATTTCTACACCTTCACCAGACTTTTCTCTGTACTCTCCCTTTCTCTTTGAACTTTGCCGAGACATGCCTCGATTCATACAATTAACACTCTTGGGGTTTTCATATGCCAAATTTGCATGTGATCTAAATTACAGTATCGCTTTAGGGTTTTCGTACCCAAATCTGTGTATGAAATAAAAAATAAAATAAAATAATTTTATGTTTGCGGACGAGTGGAACAACTTATCAAATATCATCATTAACACGAATACGCTGGATAGCTTCAAGCATAGGTTGGATGGATATATGAGCAATAGGGGTTGGGTGTAAATGGGACTGCCCAGTATGGGCCAATAGCCCGCTGCAGCTTCCTCTATTCTTATGTTCTAGTTATTGTAACTTTTATTTTATAATATTCGGCCAATCAGCATGAGTGTTGATGTGACGCCATAGTCAAGTGGGCTAATCACTGTGTGCCGATGTGATGTAATACACACGAGCCAATTAGCGCAAGTCTTGATTCTTGAGCGGTTGGAAGATGGTGTCTGCGTGAGAAGGATGTACAGTACATTGGCTGACTGGCTCGTTATTCAGTGCGGTTTGGACAATAAAGCAGCAGCCGTTGACATTTTTTGGCTCACATTGTTCTTGTTTCATCTGTAAAGTGTCCGAGATGCAAGTCAGTGTGTCAGAACCGTGTATATCACCATACATGGTACAGTGGTAAGAGACGGACACTGACAAAGACACCACATCCTAATTCAAGTGGCATCACTATCCTCCTGTAACTCTTACTTAAGGTAAGTTTCTTACACACTAGGGGTTAGGTTAGGTTTTTGCATCTTTTGACCTTCCAATTTTGTCAAGATCTCAACAACGGCTCATTTCTGATGGCAATGAAGGTCATATTTGCATTTAACACTGATTTACACCATAAAAACTCATTTTCAAAAGTTAACTAGGTATTGGCAACTACTTAATATTTACCTTCAACCCAAGTTTCTCATTAAAAAGAAAAAAATCTTATTATTTGCCAGATCATTCTCATACTGTTATGAATTCAAAGCTATTCATTATAGTAGTGTATAACAAAATTATTAAGCTTGTTCAATCCATTCAAGGTGGCTGGTCTGAATTTCAAGTAGATGTCCAATGCAGCACCTTTGACACATAACAGGTATCCATTGTTTTTTACATAGATGCAGTCAACTGTCAAAGGAAGACCTTTACATATGTGGCACTGCATGTCTGCACTAAATGAGTTAATTACGAGAGCAAAAGTGAATAGTTGCTATAGGTGGATCGCACCCACCACTATCACTTTTCCTTGTGGCATTTATATCACAAATTACATGGAAGCTAAATATTTAACATTTTTGGTTATTTACCGTAAATACCTCTCCGAAAAATCTGCAGTCACATGTCTGTTTACAACCAACCTGCTTGGTCCAAGAGTACTCTCATGTTCACAAAAAAATTACAATTAGACTACGACACTTTACCAAAGCTGTTTTCATTGGTACCAGATATCAAAATAACACCTTCTGTTTAATATGGCAAGGGGGTCCAAGGAAGTTAGGTAAGATTAGATACCATAGTTTCTTTGGTTGGTTAGGTCAGGTTCTATTAGGTTCATTATTATTCATTTGGATAAATTTTTACCTTAGGACTTGAGTCCCTAGTGGTTGACACGTTTTTCCAGTGTATTTTGGTGTGTTTTAAATGAATTTGACCTTCATTTTTGGCAGAAATTACTAGTTCTTGCCCCCAACAATAATGGGGAAGAGCCTGGGAAATCAGGTTTTTTGGGTAGGGGAGAAAAAGAAAAGGAGTCATCTGACCTAACAAAACTTAACCTAACTCCTAGCCGTGGGGGTAGGACTAACCTGACCCCTGGCCAGGGACGGGCCCCCGGTAGGCCTAGCTTAAACTAACATAAAGGCTTCAGTAGTTAAAAACTTTGGGGCACGCCACGTCCAAAAGTACAATACCTAAGTTAGAAGTGGAAGGACCAGGGATATGTAAGAATTGGATAGAATAATCGTCTTTCTTGTAAAACTCGGCTACAAACTTAAAATAATTGTAGGAGCACAAACGACAACCATCCTCCACCACAGCCATTGTGAAACTGGTCAATGAAATTAAAATAATACACAGGCTGTTTCCTTTGAGAAAAATCAAATGTGATTGGTTAAAAAAATTTGCGTGTTGAAATCGATACCTTATTGGTCACGACTGGATGACATCAGTCAACATTGCGCATGCATGATGCGCAGATAACATCTCCTGAGACGAAGACTTAAAAGTACTTAAAATCAATTAAATTCAATTGTGTCACTATTATCCATTTCCGCCATGTATATATGGGGTTCAAAATGCTCAGAATAGTGAGATCTAAATGTTTTAGTAGTTTATAACTTTCGAGGGCGCTATGTCCAAAAGTAAAATAATACCTTCATTTGCAACAGAAGTGAGGAAGGTTACTCAGAATGATGAGATATACTGTATCTATTGCATGTGCTAAAAACCTTGAAATGCAGAGTCCAATTGTAAAAATTTACCAAAGTTTAATACACTTCTATAAGTTTCACATTCACGAACAGTTAACATTTGTTTAATAGCTGTGGTAAGATTTTCGTATACTTGGTTACTTAGGTTTGGTTAAGTTGGGTTTGGTTTCAACAGTGATTTGGAAGCCGAAATTGTTATGATAATAGGCTTTTTTGGTGTATTCTAATAAAAAAGGGGCCACAACCATTAAGCGAATATTTACCTGAAGAGCTAACTTGTATAAATGTGAGGATAAGAAACTCCTGAAGGTTGTGTTGCCTCCAATCTGTAATTTTTTAATTCATTTTTCACTCAATAATATCCAAAAATAGGCCTAAGTCACAGTTTTGTACCATGTTCACATGCTGTACTCAGAACATAAATCATGAAACTAGTTCACCTTGCTCTAATCCCAAATATTTTGGTGAATAAATTAAATACATCTTTCAAAAATTACCCGAGTCACTGGAAACAACTGTGTAGTGATCAACGGAATTCTTTAGCAAATGTGGTCTAAACCACCAATGAGAGACCATCTTACGTGGTACTGTGTAAACCTATGTGTTAAAACAACTTAAATACCCTAAAACTAGTTTGATTAGTTGCCAGAGTTGCCAACCCTCCGTCGCAGGTTGTTTGCCAACGGGTAGCAGTTAGGGCGAGTTAAAACCTTCTAATAACTAGAATAATGTAGTGAGGTGACCAGCGGGTTGTCATGGTTGGAGAGGCCAAGTGTGAGCCGAGGCCTTGGTGGCAGAGTTGGCCTTGGACCTCTGTAAACAAAGCCAGGACTGTGGTCCGACCTTCGCACTGACATGTTACATTGATTTTACCCAATATTATCCTAAACACCTGAATTTTCGAAATCCCTACCTGCGAGAGCGACCACACATCATTATACTCACTGTGATATTGGCGTGAATGTCATATTTCTTGCCCGTTTTGGAAATAAATCGACAGGTTAATTCGTCAACACTGGCCGCCACCACTTGGAACAGCTCGTCTGTTTTGGGAAAAGCGTTCTCCAATACCCGTATTTCCTGCTTGAGGGTGTTTAAACACGCCATGATAATCTCAATAGGATCTTATTCCTGGCATGGAAGTGAAATGTGGAAGAACTACGAAAAAAAAATACAACTGGGGTAGATGACAGCTCGGCGCGAGTTGTCGCTCTCTTTCCCGACGAGAAAATGGCGACCACGGGGAGAACTGGCCCACTGTTGGAGGTTTCTCATATATTATCGTTCACCCTCAAGTTTCGCCGATCCAAATATATTAAAAAAAAAATTTTCATTAGAAAAATAATTTGAGTGTATTATCTAAAGTATATAACTAATTTAAAAAAAATGTTTTATATGCGCACATTTTTGCAGAATTTGTCTTAATTTCAGATAAATTCAAGTATAGAATTTGACTAAGGTGAACGTAATAAAACAAAATCATTTTATACCTTGTAAATAAGTGCCTCCTAGATGGCCAACAGATGGCAGTGTTGAGAGGCGGTCTGTTTGAAGTGTTGGATGGATATATAAAACAAATTTAGTATTATACAATGAAACATTACTGACTGCTCAGATGACCGATCTCCAACATTCACTTTTGTGATTATTACAATAGCACATATTAAATGTATCTGAAATATTAAGTCTCGTTCATGTTAACCTTAATGACCACAATTGAAAACAATACGAGTATATATTTTATTTCTTGATATATATGACCTCATTGACAGTGATGAATTTATTGCATATTAGTGATATACCAAATATTTGTTGAAGATAAAGATCGCAATTCCATCAAATTTGTCCAGGATATATTTCACTAAAGAAGATTATACCTCGTGTAACATGTCATTGACCTCCCATCCAACCTGTGAGCTACCCCTGTTTATACTACAAAAAATGACTTCAAATTATCTTATACAGCGCCATGTAATGGATACATGTTCTATGATTTCATTTTCAGTAAAAAAATAAATAAAGGTGGGGACCAACACGTGAATTTTGTTTCCTCCGTTAAATACCTAATTAGCTTGTTCTTTTGTTTAGGTGTCCGATCCCGCTCATGGAGATACTATTTTTATCAAATGTATGCTGAAAATAATAAAAAATATTACAATGGTGTGAAAATATAAAGCCGGAATTACATATGATAAGTTGTTAAGAAGAGTGAAGGCCATTTATTTATTGTCATAATAAATCTTGGGTGCTACTGTAGTATGTGGTCTACCGAGTTGGTCTACCGTGATATTTACCTTTTAGTGTCTATTAACCTAACCTAACCTAGTATGCTACAGTGTAAGTATCCCGGAAGACACGACTCCAGCTGGGTAGACTGCATACAATAGTAGCTCCAGCTCGGTAGACTGCATACTATAGCTCCAGCTGGGTAGACTGCATACTATAGTAGCTCCAGCTGGGTACTGCCTAGCTCCAGCTGGGTAGACTGCATACTATAGTAGCTCCAGCTGGGTACTGCATACAATAGTAGCTCCAGTGCATAAGTATCCAGCCGGTAGAGACACGTAGCTCCAGCTGGACTGCAAACAATAGTAGCTCCAGCAGACTGCAAACAATAGTAGCTCCAGCTCTAGACTGCAACAATAGTAGCTCCAGCTCATAGACTGCATACTAGTAGCTCCAGCTGGGTAGCTACGCAGCTAGCATACTAGTAGCTCCAGCTCGGTAGACTGCATACTATAGTAGCTCCAGCTGGGTAGACCGCATACTATAGTAGCTCCAGCTCGGTAGACCGCATACTATAGTAGCTCCAGCTGGGTAAACTGCATACTATAGTAGCTCCAGCTCGGTAGACCGCATACTATAGTAGTACTGTAGTGGCTTACTCTCACTACAACCTCTTCGCCCAGCCAATCAGCGACGCCTTCCATTTCACACCTCGATTCTTGAGTAGGCAGGATTGCATAAATACCCCACCTGCCTCACAACATAGCGAATTCATTATCTTTGCCGAAGACATCACACAAATCATATCATGTCCCGGAAAATCAGAAGCAATGATGGCATGCCATACGGCCCTAGCAATAAAAAACATAAATGACCAGGAAAAGAAATGGAAAATACGGACAAACATCAACAAACTTAAAATCATACCATTTGCTAAGTAAAAGGTCGAACCAGTAATAGTAGATGGAGAAATTTACCCATACACCAACGAAGGCAGCATCCTGGGACTGAAAATCACCAAAAATGGTTACCAGAGCTTCATCAACGAAAAAGTCCACAAACTACGTAGCAAACTCTCAAAAACAAGAAGATTAAAAAACCTGATCATACCAAACAAAAGGAAATTATACACGGCACTAATAAAATCAGTAATGTGCTACTGTAGTGAATATTTCCCCTACAACTACAACTGCCGTTTGTCGCTGACCAGCCGATCCCTTGTCGAGCTCCCCAGCCAAAGCCTCGTGGTCTAACAAAGCGAGGTTGGCTATCAAGCCACGCTTTCCTCCGCTATATAAGCTCTCAACCTCGCCGTGAACTCCCTTCTTCTACCTACAGCCCCGCAACACGCAACACCTCACCAACCAGCTTCCTCAGCAAATTCCTCACCCAACAGGACTTCTGAGCAAGCTCCTAACCAAGCAGCAACTCCTCAGCACTGCACTGTACGTACATTCAATATATTTATATACAGAAAGTGAGCTTCCTTTCTCCAACCCATCCTGAGTGCGAGACAACATCACGAACCCCACACTACCCGCCTGTACCAACCAACTCATTCAGTGCAACGAGAATCAAGAAACTTCAAATGGTACAAAATAAAAGCCTAAGATTCATATATAACATCAGTTACGAAGAAAGAGTAACAAACGAAGAACTCCATAGAAGACCCAACACCAACGCAGTAAACGTAGACATCTACATCCAAGCCAAAAGAACATGGGAACAAGTACGGGAGTTAGACTCAGAAACTGCAGCTAACTAGCTCGACAACGAACCAGTAAGAAGAGCAAGAGAAGAACACGCTTGGTTCAGATTAAGCAGAATAAGAGTCAACAATCTACCACCAATACCAAAATACATATAAAAATTATCAAATTTAATACAAAAACAAATGTATAGCCAATAAATACTGTACCTTCAAGTCAAGCTTCAATCTTTCAATTAAACCAAAAAGATGTAGTGGATACCTCCCCTACAATAGGACCACCTCCTTGTGAACAAAAGTAGCAAGTTGGATCCTACACCTCTTCTTAGAAATTAAACCTCCCTACTATAAACAAAAAGCTTCAATTCTCTAAAACAGAAAAATGTTTCATTAAGAAGATAAGAGTGACCAAAGGACCTATCCTTGGCCTCTCCAACACTTGTCTTCAGGCCCCTTCCTTCCACTTTTATTAAAACAAAAGACACGTTCCTCAGCCAGCTCCACAATAGCCTGGTTAGAGGTCGTCACCTCTTCCTTGGAACAATGGCTACTGCAAAAATAAACATATTTTTAACTAAATGAAAAAGGCTTGAGAGCTAGAACCTAATCATGCAAGATGTAAGTTCAAATATAATTATTATAACCTCAGCATATCTGGTTGAGCCCGGACACTGTTAATCTCTAACTTTCCTTCAATTTTTCTCCCTCTTTTACCTCAATCCTAAACCAGTCCCCTCCCTCCCCCCAATTGCCACCAAAGTACTTCCAATCCTAATTCCTGCCCTCACACCCAGCATTACAAGCAATAGCTCTCTGCCTTATCTACAAACGTCAAGTCAATTCAAGTCAAGAAGGTCATTCTACACCACGCTCTCAAGCCGACAAGACCTCCTCCCAATAAGCTCCTCCACAACACAAAATCCTACTGCATTGTACATACAATAAACGTGGAGTTAAAGCTACTCTGAGTTTCCTTCCTCACCTCCATTCTGAGTGCGAGATCTCCTTTATGTACGTGTGTAAGTGGTCCTGAAGAAAGAGAAAGTTGACACAAAGAGAAATTTTACTAACTGCGCCACATACTCACGCTACAAATGGTGACCCACGGAGTGAGGCACTCACACAGGATGGATGAGAAACGGATCTCTCTCCCAGTCATCAACCACAACATCGAGGACTGGATAATTCATGTGGAGGCAGCTCTCACCGGCTCAGCAGCTACAGATGAGCAGAAGTACGTCACCCTGGCCTGTTCTTTGCCCACAGAAGTCACCACGTAAGTCTCAAAAGTCAACACTAAGTTCCCAGATGACAACAAATTGACAACTCTATGAGATGTTCTCAAGAGGCGATACCAGCGGCCTGGCGCCAGTCTCCTGCAAGACCTATCAAACTCTCCCTCAGCAACTCAACGCCTGCCGAGACTGAATTCCCGCCACACACACAGGCTCCCTGACATTGTCCTGCACCAACTTCATGCTCAGAAGCTCCCTGCAGAAGTTCGTCTCACCCTGTCGGCACTGGACTACTCTACAACCCCGGCGACCTACGCAGTCACGGCAGAGCATTCCATGAATACACTGCTGTGTGCCATGCAGCCGCGGGCAACTCAGTGACCACGCCATCACCTAGCTCCGGTACCATCAACGCTTCGGTGTCAACGCTAGATGTTGTGAGGCTCCCTGCAACTACTCGAGGAAACAGTGTCGACTGGAATTGGTAGACACCACAACCTCCGTCACTTCAGGCGTCCCACTGCTGCATATCACCGACCGCATTTCCGGCAGGAAATTTCTTGTTGACACAGGGGCATCGGTCAGCATCATCCCTCCCTCACTGCAAAACACACAAAGCAACCCTCATATGACCTGTTTGCTGCCAACGGTACCCCCATTGCCTCCAACAGCACACACATCCTCGCCTTAGACCTTGGTCTTCAAAAGATTATGCTCTGGTCCTTCGTGGTGGCAGACGTCTCTCAACCCATCCTTGGCTTCGACTTCCTCACCTTCCACAAGCTCGTCATCCACGAGCCTACATCACATATGATCCAGGGTACACGTGCTGCGGTCACCGACACCATCACCTGCCTCTAGCCGTTCAATGAGTTCTCCTCCCTGCTCAAGGAGTTCAATGGACTCTTCTCACCCCGAGTCTCTCCGCCACCATCTACATCGGGAATCTTCCATCACATCGAGACTACAGGACCTCCAATCTTCTCAAGCCCTAGCCGCCTTCGCCCTGAGCTCCTGAATACAGCCAAGGCGGAATTCAACAGACTCCAGCAAGACGGC